ATCGATATTTATCGCCTTACAACCATCATTCGTGAAGTAATGATCGAGAAATAGATTGCCATTCTGCACGGAACTGTTGTCGATAGCCAACGGCACAACCGGTGAGCATTCACGGCAGATCGCTGTAAACGAATGCAGTTATTCAACCTCGCGTTGAATTAACTTGTAGAAGAAAAGTTACGGCTAGCAGATTCTCAACTATGAAAATAAACGCTTTTGGAATGATGATACAACCGAAAGTCTTCGGAAATTAATCCCTCAGCAATATTTGGACTGAACTAAAAGGCTTCTGAACGAAGGCATAAGTACTGATACCTTTCGGGATCACACAAAGAACCGTCTTGACCGGTTTTCCTGTGAGAGTCAACCATTGACCTTGATGACTGCAAAAAAATGTGGTATTCACCACACCTACTCCAACGACCAACGGTGTACCGCCCGGTTCAGTAATATCAATCGGTGCTGTAGTCTAAAATCAGCAACTTCAATTAGTGACTTGACACAGAAACAAGTCAAGTGAAAGCATTTGAGTGAAGAGCATCACTGACACTGCCCGACGAACAACTCAGTTGCAGTACGATGCATTCGTTGACTTTTGTACGGTCCATCACGATCATACCGTTGGTTTGCATTGAATTGTTGACTTGCGCAACTTTCAGCGCTGAGCAAGTGGTACAGCTCGCTGAAATTCTCTCTGAATCATCGCTGAAATTTACTTCGAATCTCAAATATGGCTCAACTGATGGCGATTGATGCAGTCAGCGATAGTGTCTTTCGATATCTCATCGATCGACTGATTCATTTGTGCTGGACAAAATGGGACCAAATATCTTTATTGAAGGCCTCCGATAACTTGAACGAGTTTGTATTACGATTGTGATTCCAGTTCACCGTTCCAACATTCTTTTAAGCCAACCGTCATCGGAAGAATTTCGTAACAGTTCGAGACCTACCTGTTGGAGGCGAAGGTGAGATAGGATGAGCCGTTGTAGTAACTGGTGTTGCCTTAGTTGTTGTCACGTTCTCAGTGGTGTTTTTGGCAGCTGAAATTGCCGAGAATTCAGATTGAATAAGATATGATTCTATTTCGGATTCACTTTGCGTAAGTGCGAGCGTTCGGCTCGCTATCACGCAATTATACGCTCGTTTCGTTAGCTTGTGCGCAAAAGAATCCAATTGTGATCTGATCAAATCCAACAGAATGCATCACTAAATTTTGTGTTGCCAATAAGCGAAATTCAGTGAAGACCAATAAAAGACTCACAGTGAAATATCAAGAGAAATCATGCGGAGTTTTGAAAGGTTTCTTTCATGCATCTCTACTCTCATAGAGAATAAAAGAATAGTGAGAAAGAAGAATCATCTTCGTTTGATGCTCCATCAATTCGTTGATAAATGTGTGATGAAAATGAAAACTAACGCAGAAGAATGCACGAAACGTTAACGATCAGCAGCGTTTTGTCGACATGAGTCCACTGAGAGTGCTTGTTGCAACAAAGCGATGATTGGATTGAATTTGTAGCAATCGCGAATGGACTCGAGACATCACCATCGAACACGATCGCTGCTTGTTCGCTGCTCTTAACATGCATCATCATGCAACTCAGCTCAATGAAAGGCACAAATTCGGTGAATCGAGATAAAGTGATCACTGAAATTTATCCACATCTCACAAATCCGAATTTGGCGACGTTCGCTAAGTAGGCAGGGAAGTGATGTTGAATCAGTGATGGGGTACTCACAACTAAGTGAGCAAAATGAGAGCATCAGCAACGAGTGATTCATGCTCACGAGCATGAATGGTAAGTCGGCAACTACAAATCACTTTTGTTGTGAGCAGTGGATGAGGAACTCTCAGCAAACTCGTAAGCAGCGATAATGAACAAATCGAAAATTTTCTTCTCTCGTTGTCAGCAATACCTCAGTTTGAAAACATCCATCAATCCGTTTGATGCAATGCGTTCAACAGCGAAATCATCACTAGGTTCAAAACAGTTGCCTTATTCAACGAAAAAAGCAGCAGAAGCATCAGATGCAACATGGCTATGCGGAAGCGAAAATTAATAGGCTTAAGTTGATTGCTTACCGTCCCGAAAGCACTGCAATGTATATCCACACAACGACATCCAGTTGATGTAGTATCATGATCAATCACCAGATTACCGTTCGTTATGCCAGTTTTCAAATTTGTAAGGTGTAACGCTCGCAGATTCGGACAATCCTTGCACGATACTGAAAGGTCGAACGGTTTTTCAGCGATAAAGTTCAGTCGGTCGTGACATCAAAGTGACACATTCGCAACTGAGAAATCTCCTCACTTTGGGAATTACTGATTATGAGTGAAATTTAATATCATTTTTGGAATTATGTAATTTGAGGGTTGAATGGTCGGCCGGAAGAACAACTGGTTGGAGAAAAGAAGATCGAAATTGCAAACATTTCGGTGGGACAGTGGTTGTTGTCGGAGGTATTACTGTCGACGGAGGGGCTGGAGGNCATTTTGGGTAATTTGGAGCTGTCAGGGGGTAGTGGAAGGGTCGGTAAATTAGTAATTCGTGCAGTTATTATGTTATGATAGAACACCACTGTGATGGTGTTTTTTAACTCGGGTGTGTAAATTCGGTTAGTTGATAGCAACACTCTTCATTCGCACATTTTCTAAGTATTGCTAGCTTGTAAGGGCCTAACAGGGTTTTCAATTGTTTTAACAGAGTTTTCATTCTTTTCCTCGTTGTTGCAATCGCTCTTATAACTTTTATCACCAAAAGTGTTCTCTTCTGCTAATTTCTCATTCATTTTACTGAATAATTATTGTCAAATTCTCATTCTATCAAATACACTCTACAATTGATTATTTGATTGTCGAACGTTGTTGAGCAATAATATTCGATTGCTGCATTGTTGATTCTGCTGTCAACACTCGTCAACGTATCCAGTAAATAGTGTATGTCACAGAATAAGAATTTGATTCGAACTGCAAAGCGAAATGAGACGAAATGAATGAGAAAAAGTCATGAAGAGAACGGTACTCTCATGCAATAGCTATAAGAGCGAACATAACACGTCTGAAAAGAATGAGAATGCATCTAAATCAGTTTGAAGTGAACGTTTCATAGACAATAGCTTATCATGCAATCATATAACATTGCAGTAATGAGCAACACAACGGTCTAGGACACTGATTTCTTTCACGCCGTTAAGAAATTTCCGGCCCAGTTTTCCGTTTCTTCCTGACGTTATAAGTTGAAATAGTAAGTTCTTGCATCAGGGGAAAGGGTAAAGGCAGCCTACCAGATCATCAAAAGAGATAATGGAGCACCCGAACGTAAGAACCACTGCACTAAAGCAAGCCATATTTCCTTGTGAACACTCAACAAACCTTCAACAAAAGTTTCTGTGCCATATGATGAATTTCTAAGTTTCCCCAAGCGTTGTCTGACTGCTAAACAAGAAATTTTTTTGACTGGTTTCTGGTAAGAGTTCACCAAGCAACACTTTCAGCTGCATATTTGACAGATGATTTTGAATGAGTAAAGTACGCTCTCACTCCAACTGTTTTATTATTGAAATTGGATTCTCAGAATTTGCGGCATTAAGTCAAACTTTCAAACACGGTAGACCGTTTTATTTACTGGCCAATATCGGAGCAGTACGCTCTTCGAAATTTTGGAGGATTTTTCATGGTCAACCACAGAATCCTGAAGATCAGTGTAAATTTGTTTTCCACGGATAGCGAGCGATACCCAAAGCAACGGCGCAACGCATGAAAATTCAGAACAATAGACGATTTCAACAGAAACTATTGGTGAAAATGATAAATTGAACCTGATGGACTTGGGATTGGTGTTTGTTGTTTTGTGGTGGTTGGGATTGTTTGAATAAGCGATAAGCAAGATAGAGTGTTGATCAGCATGTCTTTATTCTTCGAAAGGTACCAACTCGAGTCAGTACCACAGGTCAAATTGATCGATGCTTTCGTGACGCCACTCGCCAAAATGTAACTGATTCGACCGATACCAATAAACAATATTTCCGATCCGTCCTGAGACAACAAAAATGTTTTCAGCGCGAACGATTCCTTCGCAATCAGAAACAAATGCTTTAGCTGCTTCCTACTATATCCCTTAGAGTCAAAAAAGAGTCTGGAGTAGCGTATTATACCTTGCCAACAAGTAAACTTTCCAAAGAGGGTTTATCAAAGACACCAGTAATCATACCACAG